CTTGCGCACCCGGACCCTGTGCCCTGCAAAGAAAGAGGCCACAATAGTGAGAGGCCTGCGTAAAAAAAAAAAAAAAAAAAAAAAAGTTCTATACAAGCAGGGAGAATACGATCTTCGCTAGACCATGGCAATTCTTTTCCCATTTTCCCTAGACAGTTAGGGTTGAAAAGCAGAGTAAGGCTCAGATTGCAGGGGTGGGGAGGGAAGAGACTCAAGGGCTAATTTCCCCCAGTACAAGATGGCATCTGAAGCTCGACGGGAGAGCACAACTGGAGGGACTTGAGGGAAGGGTCCAGGCCCTATATTCAGTCAGAGTCACTGCTGGAAGAGGAGGAGGAGGAGGAGAAACGCTTGCCATGCTTGTGGTGTTTGTGCTTCTTTTTGTGAGCTTTCTTCATTTCCTTCTGCATCTTCTTGTCGATCATCATTCCTGGTCCTACCATGCCAGGAGCCAAAGGATTCACAGGATGCATGCCAAGGGCAGGTGGTGGGTATGCAGGGGGGTAAGGACCTGGGGGTTGGCATCCTGGATACGTGGTTGTGGCACAAGATGACAGGTCCACTGGGGGAAAAGCTGGATTCCCCTGGGGTGATCCTGGGGGAGTGGGAAAGGGGCCTGGAGGAAAGGTAGGGTTGGCAGGTGGTGGATGGGCAGGATTACAACCTCCAGGGTACCCGATGTTAGGGGGTATGGATTTGGCCCTGGCTGCCCAGCATTGGGATTCCACATATTCAGGTGTTTCCTCCAATCCAGGAATGGAGAAAGAAGGAAACTGAGGAATCCAGATGTCCTGTCACCTTTACACCACTGCCTGGTCTAAGTCTACACTATCTTTTCTCAGAACCCACAACTGTATCTTAATGGACTTGCAAATAATACTAAATGGCTTTTAGTATCTTTTCTTCCTACATTTCCTACATTTAATGAGCCCTTACAAAGTTCCAGGCAGTGTTCTAGGTTATGAGGATCCAGTGATGAATAAGATGGATAAAGCCCTACTACCTGGAGGTTACATTTTAGTGAAGGAGGAAAAACATACAAACAAGTAAAGTCTGTACTACCTAGAAGTTGGGGGAGAAGTTTTAAGCCAATTCAGAAAACCCAGAAAGTAAATTATTAATTTTTATTTTGGCCATGCCACATGGCCTGCGAGATCTTAGTTCCCTGACCAGCGAATCAAACCCAGCCCCACGGCAGTGAAAGCGTGGAGTCCTAACCACTGGACAACCAGGGAATTCCCCAGAAAGTAAATTAGACAGACATATTTAACCATCCGAATATCAATTTGAATTTATGAAGAATACTGTTATTGATAGTTTATGCCAAATAATTTTTAAAGAGTGTTCTCCTTCCATCCATGCCAAATAATAACAATTTTGGAAACTTAGAAAAATCTTTGCTAAGTTTGTTGTCATCAAGCAGCACTTAGGTCATATACAAATACATTTGGTTAAAATACAAATTAAGATTTATAAGGGATGGAAATAATAGAGTAAAAAGAATATAGAGTTTTTCGGGAAATCTAAGTTGCAACCTCTGTCAGTTATTAGCTGTGTGACCTTGATCAAATAACTTCTCTAAATTTTGGTTTATTTACCTATAAAATGAGATTGAACTACATTATCTCTATGATTCCTACAAGTTCCTAAAACTTTTCACATAATTGCAACCAGTTAGAGAAAAACATATGCTGGCAGCTAGTTTTTCACATTCATCCAATCAACCACTCTTTACAAAGCTAAAACTGAGAGACTGCACATCAATACTCTATCCCTGGGTCCTAAACCTGCATCACAGAGCTTTTGAATGATCTATCTAGAATTTTCACTTACCTCTTCCTGTACGTAGATAGATACAGAAAACTTTCTGGAAGCTGTTAACAACAGTTTACACTGTACACTTTATCTTATGTAATTTGTATTACTTTTGTGTTAGTATATACACAGTTGGGTAAAACTGAAAAATGAATCATGATGCTTTACCACTAGCCTTAATATCTCACTGAGCAGTTGTGCAGTTATCCCCCTTACTCTCCACCTCCCCCTGCAAACCCTCTCTGAGGAATGAGAAACTTGTTGCAGAGTGAAAGCTTTCAATGTCTGGCCATAATGTCCTATTTATGTATCAAGTTCTAAATCTTACTGTAATTGATGGCTATTTTAAAGAATGTTATGTGGAGGGTTATGCCATAACACAAATTTAAAAGTCATTTATGTTGCTCAGTCTTCATCATTAAAGCATACCTAATTAAATCTCTCAGAGGGCACCTGGGCATTATACCAAAGCTCTGATTTCAAGGAATCACAAAAATAAGCTGTTTGTCAAGGGAAATTCCTAGTTGAAAGCTATTGTTGGTTTAACTGATCAGGAATCTCCAATTAATGATACTGTATTTAAAAATGACAAATGAAAAATTTTAACTGATAAGATAGTTTAGTATTTAATTTATATCTTCATAAAATTATTTTACATGATTTCAGTTGATAAAATTGTCAAAATAAGAAGGTCTGAATTGTGAAAAATAATAATATGTGTATGTGTGTTTCTTACCCATTTTTTTAGGCTTGTAATATTTTGATCAAATGATTAAATCATTTTATTACCAAAAATTAAACATAGCATTTAAAACCTTTTAACCTTCACTATGAGAAATTTCACACTGGATTACATTAGTGTCCCACCAGCCTGATACTCTATGAAAGAAGCATGAAGGAGTTTTTGGAGAAAAGCAGGAACACATCAAAGTTGGCAAAGGACAGACCACAAATGTCCCTTACTTTCTTTAATGATTGATTAATTATGGTATTATTCATCTAATAAACATCGTTTAAATTATTATTGCTTAGATGTTACCTTATACACTAAAGCTGGACCTGTCTTTTTATTATTATTTTTATTTATTTATTTATTTATTTTTGTGCGGTACGCGGGCCTCTCACTGTTGCAGCCTCTCCCATTGCGGAGCACAGGCTCCGGACGCGCAGGCTCAGCAGCCATGGCCCACGGGCCCAGCCACTCCGCGGCATGCGGGATCCTCCCGGACCAGGGCATGAACCCGCGTCCCCTGCATTAGCAGGCGGACTCTCAACCACTGCGCCACCAGGGAAGCCCCCTCGACCTGTCTTTTTAAATTCTTCTATGGAACCTTGATTTCCTCACCTGTGAAATGACAATCATAAATTTCCTATCTCATAGACTTGGCAGATTAAATGAGATAATGGTGGTAAAGAGTGTGGAATGCTGCCTAGCATTTAATATATGTTCGAGAAACATTAGCCATGGTTATCCCTAGCAGAGACTTGTAAATTTTCCTGTAGTTAAATCAGATCATTATGCACTTACTTATGCATAATTCCTAATTAATCTATTTTGGAACTGTTGATAGAAATTATAATGGCAAGCTATACTAAACTGAATATATATATGAATGCTGAATTTTACTATGATAATAGGAAAACAATTCCAATGTATTTGATTAAATGTATTAAGCATATTATGCCTCTTAAAAATATAAGTATACAAAATTTTTAAATTTAATTTAACTCATATGAATTTCATGGCAGAAAAATATAAGTAAAAGCTAGAATTACAGGAATAAATCAATGGCCATTATGCAATTGACATCTTCATATGTAATGGCACAAAAGCATCATAATTGAGAAACACATTATAACTTCCTGAAGATATCTTCATTTTCTGTTTGGAAATAATGGTGTCAGAAGAAAGAATGGTACCTAAAGAACCTAAAGCAACTTTTTCAAATGCCAATAGTTTCTATTTTGGTCTCTTTAGTCTCAATGTCAAGTACTACTCTTATTGGCAGCAAGAAGCTTTATAAAGCTGTTTTATATACATTATTGTATTCTATATATACTTTTAAGATTTTTAATATTAGGGAATAAAAACAAAACAAAAACTTCTCTATTCCAACACATGTTTTAAAAAAAAAAGTTGTTTATATGGTAAATGAAGGGAAATATCAAGTTGGGAAGCAAGTCTCTGCATTCAGTAAAGTCAAACAAGTATTTATTTTACAATATGGAAGATAACCTGCAAAGTGTTCCGAGTACACACGAGAAAATAAAATAGTAAGGTTTGCTAGAGAAAATATATAGCATCACTAATTTACAATTTTTGAGCAGAATTAACTTGGTACCTTTCATGGCCTCTTCGAAAGAGCAAGGTCTTGCCGGACTAGATATTTCCTTCTTCACGTTTACATTCAAAGCAGCAGCTGCTGCTATTAAGACAAACAAAAAGGATTAATGTATTTATTTAAACTTATCCTAACAAAACGTGTATCTTAAAATTCTTTAACTGGAATATCTTCTCACAAAGCACTATTAAATTATTTGTTTAGCAGAAATTCTAGGTTCAGATGAGTTTTTATAATCACCAGTCTACGCTCTAAAATGCACCTGTCTCCCAGTGGGCAGAAGCATATGCTTCCTTATTAAAACAAAATAAAAACCACCACAACTTCAAAAAATCTTTCTTGTAACAGTACACATATTTATATGAGATGAGTAGAAGACTGATATGAGATTTTTAAACTTACCAAATATACTGTAACACTAGCATGAAAAACAAATTCACCATTTACCTACATAAATGATTTATTTAAAATAATACTGATTCAGAGTCAATTGAGCTAAATTTTTTAAAAAACTGATGAATATACAAAATCTATAACATTATGATTATTTTTAGCAAGCCTTAGAAAATATAATCTTTGCTATTATTAAAGGAGAATTACTACACTACTATATCTATACATATCAAGTACATCTACTATGAAAACTTTAAATTTAATGAGCATGAGAGTAGAGGTCAGTTCTGAATGGTAAAGTTAAATAAATTCCAAATAAACAGGTTTTTACTTAAAATGACTGTATAATAATTTTATTTAAATAGATATTAATTTCTATTTTTCATTGTATTTATTTTATTTATTCCCTAATTTATTCAAAATGGGAACTGAGTCAACTTATTTTCAATTTATTCTTCACATGACAATGCAAAATGATGGTTATAGAGAATATAAAGAGATAGTTAACTGTGAATAAAGAGACAAAATGTACACATCTCCTAAAAATGAAGTTAAAAAATTTATCTAAGCATGCTGTGCTGCACACGAGGTCCAACAAATGATAATTTGAATGAACTATCAATTGAATGAAATTATCATTTGAATAGAATTGATGAGAAAAAAAAATCCAAAGACAATTTTAAAGCATAACATTAATTCTAATAATCACAGATTTTAAAATGGAAACTAATCTTTGAAAAAATTTTAAATTTCTACTTTTAAAACAAGTTTTAGTCATTTGTCTTTAGAGCAACAAAAAATTATGAATAAATATTTTATCCTCCATTTCTTATAGCAATTACTACTGCAGAGTCACTGCAAAAAATAACTAAGGAGATTTCTGTGTTTTAATAGATGGAAGTAAAACAAAACAAATTAATGGCTAAGCAATGCTTCAGTGACTAACTGGCAATGAAACAAAGGTTTCACAACTCTGCAAAGTAAGTGCCTAAGAGCATGTACATGCAGTGTATTTTTGGCAGTACAGACTCAGAAGGCTTTAGAGGGGCTTGTGTCTGGCAGAGCATGTGGAGCCAGCCAGTTTATATACACTTGAGGCCCTGCCTCAATCCTACTTTTAGACCGTGCACCAAGTATACAAGATCCCAAAATTTTCTGCACAACTACTCTATAGACCATGTGTGAAATCTCAGGCCTATAGGGTGAACAGAGCTTATGAGCACTGGCCAGTGCATCAGGGCCCTCCAGGTAGAGGATGGAGCCAGGAGAGGGAAAAGAAGGGTGCCAGCCTGGGGATTCCCCTTTCTTCATGTTGTCATATCCCAGTTTGGACCTCCAAGCAGTTTGAAAATCCTCAATTCGAATCTGGCCTTCCAGGTTATTATGAAGGTATTCTGGTCAAATTAGGAGGATAGAATATACTTTATTTAGTTATTTGTTATTTTTATCTGTAACTTTTAAATATTTAGGCAAAATGGTGTAGCAGTTGCCATTTCTACTCTTGACTCACAAAAATTATGCTAGGCCTTGTTCTAGCTGTTACAATTACTATACACCACTGACTATTCTTAACCACAGTCCCTGGATGAATCACAAAAGCAATTAGTTTATCATAATGAGACAGCGCAAATTTTCTATAACCAAGTTTTCCTGAAATCATATTCTCTCACATGAAGACCTAAAAAGATGCTCACATTTTATAAAATATAAAAAAGTGAAATTGTGGGAAGATTCTTTAATTAGCTATATCATAAAAGCAGAAACTGAAGCATTGGATCTCACTATAAAATTTGCATATTATATATTTATTCAATTAAGAGTTTCTGAGGGCGACTGCTATCTATGATATATACAAGGGGGAAATACTTAAAAGAATAAACGTATGCTAGTGATGGCCTAAATGTGGCCAAATATAGCCAATTAGTGTAGGCTTTAAAACAGAACAGTTAAAAGCTGTTCTATTTGGCAATTTGTTAAAGGGAAATTTTTAATAATCAGCATTCATCACTAAGAAATGAAGATTCATAGTCTGATGCTAAGCACTTCAAAGTCCTGAAGTTCTTTATTATTGATCATAAAACCAAACAAAAACAACAAAACCTCAGTATTTTCAGGATGGCGAAAACTTTAAGGCTATTTACACACACACACACACACACACACACTTCCTTCTTCCCTTCCCACACAATTAATTACTGTATGCCATTTTTCTACTATTAGCAAACTCCTCCTCACATAAATACTAAATGTTAATATTTAGTAACTAGCAGTTACTAAAATGCTTTAACTACCATTAGTTTTAAATCAAATTTTCTTGGATTTTTGAGGTCTTCTTAGAAAGAAAACAATCAACTATTTAATCTTTAAGTATAAACCAATATCCTCTTCCCTAGTTTCGTTGAAGCCAGTATATTATTTCCAAACTTTGTCTTTTTCTGTCTGAAACTTCTACTTGTGATCTTTTATTCTGAGATAAATACTAAAAGGATTTCATTAGTGCTATACTATGGCACAGTTTTGTAGCAAACTGGTGGGAAATAACCAATATTGTGAAACTCAGACATGATTAAAAAGAACAAAAAGGGAACAGATTACATTAAGTGATAGAATGTAATTATCAAGACTAGTTATAACTCTGTCCTAGCAACTGTTTCCATCACTTTTGTTGCCAGGGCTTTCTTTCCTTGCTACCATTTTTCACTTTGTACCTCACTGAATCCTGAACTAATTTGGGAATAACATATCGGTAAACGTAAAGATATGGAAGAACTTCTAGCTCTAAAGATTCCTGAGATAGGAATGGAGTAAACCATGGTAAGCATGGCAGAAACCAAGCCTAGGTCAACAAAACATGTGATGAGTTTCCATTTCTAAAATGTTCTCTCTGCTTCTCCAGGAAAAGCCTTCTCTTCTTCAGGCAACTAAACTAATGTAGGCAAAAAACTATTTGGACACTTCTTACCCAGAGATCTAAATTTATAGGTAACTGCTCTGGTTTCTAAAGCACCTGTTTTACCTAAATGCTTAAAATTACATATAAAATATTTATTCAACAGAAGTCTTTGATATTTTTGATAACACAAATTTGAAAATGTTACAGGCATATGATTCTATTTGTGATATTATCACTTATCATTCCAAGCTATCTCTCACCTCTCCCAAAATGCATCCTATAAGCCAGCCAGACTAAAAACTATTAGCAGTTTCTCAAAGTCATCACATTCACCTTTCTGCACATAAGAGGTACTCAATGAATGGTAATTCTTACCAAGGAGTAACCTGTATGACAACTCTGGAGAGCCTGACTTCAGAGCATTTCTAGCTTTTCCTTTATTATTAGAGCATAAGGCAGAAACAGTTCCCTTAATATAAGAGTAAAAGCAGTGTTTGGTGGCCATCTTCTTAGAAAATAATGCTATCTTCAAAAAATACTGATATCAATTCATCTTAGCACACAACTTTCTCTTTTAAGTTGGCTGGCCTTCTTCATATTCTTCCAAAGAACTAGAAGTTAATTATTCTTTTTGATTCAGAACTTTTTATTTTGACATACCTGGGTCTGGAGTGTAAGTGAATGGCTGAACATCATGAGATCTTCCAGCATTGGTCACTACGTATATTCCCACTGATACTGGCAAAGTTATATGTTGGTCATGATATGGGGGAACCTTCACAATAAGATGATTCTAATTGAAAGAAAATTACAAGAGTCAGAAAAGCAGTAATGTTTAAATTAAAATTTTCAAATAAAATATGATAAGTAAGTACATTTCCTGTTAGTTGTAAAGTTTAAAAAGTCTGACTAGGGGAAAAAATGTAGTATTTAAAAGCATCAGGACATTAATCTTAAAACTGCTTTTAAGGTAAAACACCAATGTTTTACAGTGGCTTACAAGGTCCCTGCCCTGTCAACTTTATCTCATTCCCCTTCTCCTCCAGCTTGTTACACTCCAGTCACACTGACCTTCTTACACTAACACAGTAAATTCATTCTTTTAACACACTAAATTCATTTTTACCTCAGAGCCTTTACAACTTTCTGTTCTCTCTCACTGGAAAACTCTTACTTTTACCTCTTCAAATGGCTAGTTCCTTACCCATTTTCAGGTCTCATTCAAATGCCATCTCCTCAGAGAAGCCCTCTCTGACCATCCTATTTGAAGTAGCACCCCTCTCCAACCTGACCACATAATCTTGTTTATTTCTAAAATAGCACTTATCACCACCTGAAATTACTGTGATTATCTGCTTCTTTTTGTCCCTCTCCAACCAAAAGAATGTAACCTCCATGAGAACCTAGGATGTTCTGTTCTTCATTCTATCTCCATGGTTAAGCACCTCACACAAAATATACTCAAATATATTTGTCGAAAAAAAGAATGAATATACATTCAGGAAAAAAATATGTCCACCAAGCATAATGTCAGTTACCATATGTTTTGTAAACCTTAACAGTGAGATGTATCAATACTTCGCAATGCAGTTCACTACTTCCTAACCACTTTAATTCTCATTTAAAGTCAATAGGGTTCAGTTTACCCAAACCTCAGTAGATCAAAGTCATTTTTTTGTATGTGAAAATAGTGGTAGAAGCATCCTTTTAAGAGAAAGGAAGAGTTCCATAAATGCTTCAGCAGCATTTATTCTTCTTAGAAGACACAATGAACCACATTTGACTTGTTCTCTTCTTCCCTAGTATGTTATAGTATTGGGAAGGAATATCAAGGGGTAGTGATTATTCTTTTTATACTGAGTATGTGATATGCAGGAGGCCAGCTGAGGATGAAGTGAATGTGATGACATTTTTTACTTAGACTATAGTAGTTGGTTGACTCAGTTGAATAGAACATGTGACAAATGAGGCCAAGATTTTGATTTTTGAGCACTTAATTTGTTTCTAAGCCATCTTAAAACACTCTCTGAAATAGTCACATTATACATTTAAAAATAGCTTCTTGGGGCTTCCCTGGTGGCGCAGTGGTTGACAGTCTGCCTGCTAATGCAGGGGACATGGGTTCGAGCCCTGGTCTGGGAAGATACCACATGCCACGGAGCAACTAGGCCCATGAGCCACAACTACTGAGCCTGTGTGTCTGGAGCCTGTGCTCCGCAACAAGAGGCCACGATAGTGAGAGGCCCGCGCACCGCAAGGAAGAGGGGCCCCCTCTCGCCGCAACTAGAAAAAGCCCTCGCACAGAAACGAAGACCCAACACAACCAAAAATAAATTAAAAAAAAAATATAGGGCTTCCCTGGTGGCGCAGTGCTTGAGAGTCCGCCTGCCGATGCAGGAGAC